TACACATTTTTAAAAATTTTTTTAAATATTACGTACGTATTTATTTAAAAGTATATCATTTAGATTTTTAAATAATCACACATAAAAATTATAAGATAATAGACATATGAATCAGTATTTTAAAATGTTTGTCTTAATTTTTTGCTCATTATTGTCATTTAAATATTCTAACATTTGTGTTCAAAAATCTGTAAAAAGATATGAATTTCCTATTACTTCTTAGAAGCGAAACCAATCCGGTTATTCTTCATGTCGAACTCGATAAAGTATCGACGTATAAATACAGTTCCCAAAATCCATATCGATTCCACATAATCATCATTGGAATATGAACTCTCAAAAGCGCTCATACATTTCGTAGTACCATTCTCTGTGACCTACAATAAATTAAATATAGCAAGCCATTTCTATTCTAAAACAATTTAAAATGTAATTTGATGTTATTTACGGTATAAATATAATCTGCATGAGTGATTTCGAATGATTTACCACCTATGAAAAAACTAATATTGGGTAAGTAAAGAGTCCTATTACAGTCCACCTTTAAATGAAGCTTTATGTTAGTAAATTATATTAATGTAATCAGTAATATATTATATGTTTATTATATATCAGTATTATATTTCAGTAATCTATTTAATAGTGGAAGAGAGCTTCCACTACGAAAAATGTCATTATTTACAATTATTTCTTCGTTAATATAAGTAGCTCCGATCAGTTCGTTAATAATTTCAATATCCAATTGTGGTCCAATTAGCATAGTAGTGCCCGTGTCGACGGTAGCTTCACAGCTATTCGAGCATAAACTGCTATGTTCTATTTGAATCCTAAAATGTGATTAACAATTATATATAATTTATGGCTGACACACACATACGTGTAATATAAAAAATAGACATCTACTTATCCATCATAAATTGCCAGTATCTTTTATGAGTAACATTAACATATGTAAGCTTGCCTAAATAATGATTGGGATCGGAGCCACCCAATATCAGTTCACCAGCAAATTCGGACACAGAATTTCTGTATAGATTATATTTATTTTTTAATATGGAAAACAAATTTTATAATATAAAAAGCAAAACTATTTAAATAAAAAATATTTTCAAACATCAGTAGCGCATAAAGAATAATACATGCCGATTTGTATAAAAACTAAAAACTGGCTCCACCAAGCCTTGGTTAATCATGTTATTAAAAACGGGAGTCATTCCTTTGGCAATTACTCCTTCGGGGTATCCCATTCCCAAAATACCGTCAAATTTTGCATAGAAAAAGGCGGTTCCCAAGTGGGTTATTGCTTCTCCGAATGTTTGATTTTGAATATTAAGGCCAGCAATCTACAAGAAATCGATATAATGATTTTTAGGAAATTTTTATAAATTATTATTAAAACTATAACTATAGAACACTTGATGATGACTCACATTCACTACATCTATAGATAAATATCCGGACACCTCACCATTATGATATGAAATATAGAATGAAGTATCATTTTCCACGTATGTGCTGGATTTTTCATATTCATATCTATTATGTGTCCCTGTACGAAAGAGTACATAAAAGTACATTAAAAAGTTAAAAATTCTAGACATTAATTTTTCTGTATTAATTTAAATATACGTATAATTAACAATTATTAAATCATTAAGTATATTTATATTTATATATTTTGCATTAAAACGTGATTTGTAACTTGTGGCAAAGTTCGTTTGCCACTCTTAGAATAAGCATGATAAAATAAATTGCATGTATAAATTGTGAAACTTAGCTCCATAATATTTACCTCGCTGATTTTAACTTTCATAATATTGAAACTTTTAACATTAAAATCTTTAGGTTTCCTTTCCTATTTTAAACTTTACTTATATAGATAGAAAAGATACAATTCTACAGCATCATCCCTATTCTAAATTTTTACGTCAATTATATTATTTCGTGTAATAATTCAAATAGAAAAAGCAATAAAAATTATTTCCGTATGTGCAAAAATAATATTGTTAAATATAAATATAATTTTATATGTAACAAATAAAATATTGAAGAAGAAATAGCGACGTTATAATATGATATACTCACAACAAGCAGCGTTGTACAGATCACAGTTTGAAGACGCTACCCAGAAATCTGAGGAACCAGTGTCGATAAGTACTTTAAATTTCTGCGGTGGAGTTCCGATTGTGATAAGGCCGTAGTATGAAACATCGTCATCATTAAATAAATGTTCCCTTAGAACGCTCCTAACTAAACGATGATGTCGACGATCGATGCCAATCGATCTTTGAATGGAGTTTGTTCTGTATAACGAAATTCTTGAAACAACATAAAGAAAATTTCATTATATTTTATGTATATATTATACGAATATTATACAATATGTACAAATTGAGTGATCATCTTCAAATCTTTCTAATTTTGAAAATTAATAAAGTCTCAATAAATGTCAATAAATAAATACTATCTTTACTTATCAATTTATATATTACATGATGATATTTAATTATTTTATATCCATGACACTTATCTCATTTATGATAAAGAAAAAGCAAATCTCGAAGAAAACCTCATTTTTTTATCTGACATATAAAGTACATTTTTTCATAATTTCATTTTGTTCTAATTATCGTTGAAGTATTAGTCGCAAATCTTCGTTTATATGCTCAGCTCACCTTCGCAATTCCGCGTTGATCAGCATGAAAAGTGCGGCAACCATTACGAAAAGTCGAAACATGTTTTTCGAATTTTCTGATGATTAAAGCTGCAAGAATCAAAAAGATTTTAGAGACGTTGTAATTTTCTTTCGCGCAAAGTCTTTCTCTTCACAATCAAAACGCACAACAGAAAAATAATATACTTGGTCAATCATTAGTATTCCCAATATAAATACCATTTATAAATAGAAATACAATGTTTATATATGAGCTTATGTATGTACGTTCTTGTGTGTGTTTATAACAGAATGAAAAGCATGATAAAATGCGCGAAGCGTTCTAAAGGCAATCTTAATAGCTAATCTATAATACTTTTAAAAATTGTATTTTTTATATACGCATATTTCAACAAATTTAAATAAATTCAATAATATTTTCTACATTTCCAAGAATTTGAGATTTTATGCTGTGAAGACTTAAATTTTTAATAATCGCCAAAATAATTGAAATAAAATAAATATTTCAATTAAAAAAAATTATTATTTTTTTACAATTACATTATAAATAAGATTATGATAGATATAACAACATTATGTTTATATAAATATTGAAATATTATTAAAACTCACTAGAATATAATTATAAATATATAAAATACGAATAATAAATTAATATCCTTAATCAAATATATAAGCGTGTTCTCAAAATCAAGAACAGATAATATATACTTAAGTCATACATATAAGATTATATTTTACTTATTTTAGAATAATGTTGTTTAGGAAATGTGTTTGAAATATATAAATAATATATAAATAAATTATAAATGGAAAATAAGCTATGAATAGAAATCATTATTCAAAAAAATTTCTTCATTATTCTTATTACTATGTCATTTAAATCTTCTAACATTTATAAGTAATCTTGAAAAGTCAATCGATAATTATTTTGCAGGGGCAAATCCCATTCTGTGGTGCCCTATATCGAATTCGATATATCATCGAAGAAATATATTGCCCAAAATCCATATCGGATTTTCTACATAATTTTTCTGAAAGAAGCTTATATTCCATCTCACTTTGTTATTCTATACTATAAATTGAACAAGCATAATATATTTTCTATTACAAAATAATTTAAAACAATCAAAAATTTTTTAACAATATTTCTATTCTAAAGTTTAGTTATTTTTTTTTTTAGTTATTTGATCATACATATTTATTTTAAAAATATAATCTTTACTAATGAGACTGAATATTTTACTGTCTATCGATTGCCTGACGAAATCAACATTGAGCAAATTAGAAATCTGATCGCAGTCCACCTTTGATAAAGCTTAGAATTAATAATCCATATTAGTAATATATCAAACATTTATCTATTTTTTTAGAATTTAGTAATTTATTTTAGAATGTTGAAAGAGAATGCTATTGCGAACAGTTGTTATCTATTATTTACAATTGTTTCGTTGTTGGAAGCAATAACTCCGATCAGTTCGTTAATAGTAGCGATGTTTCATGATGTCGTCCTACTAAATCGGAGGTGCGCATATCGCTGACAATCATTCACGCATACGTGCTACCTCTTATTTGAATCTTGCATTATGACAGCATTAATAATTATTATATGGTACATAATTAGACAACAATGAAGACATATCCTAATGAATGTATTAAAACAGCCAATTCTTATTAATTTTGTGATAATAAATATGTCAAATCGAATTGAATATTAGTTTTGATTTTCATAATATATTAATTGTATTAGTAATATATTATATAATATATTATTACATAATATATTATAAGTATTAATAATCTGTCTTGTAAATATTAATATTCAGATAATCAGTGTCGAACGCCATCTTGCAATACAATAATAATCAAATAGTCGTTTTCAAATAGTATTTTTGTCTGCTAAATACGAATTTATTGTTAAAATTTGATTATTACGTCATAATTTTAAAAAAATGATGTCAAAAAGGTTAAACAAATTGATTCATGTTCAACAGACAAAAAATTCGAAATTTCTGTTCATATCCACGATAAAAAGAAAAAAATTAAATTCGATTGTCCAATGTAATCTATATAAATCGACATACGCATAATTTAGAAAATAATCATGTACTTGTTCATGTTAAATTGCTAGTTATCTTTTGCGGATAACATACGTACACGCTCGCCTCCATAACGAGCAGAATTTGAATCCATATCAATTCACCGCCTATCGCGTACAAGGGATTTCTGTACACATTATATTTTTATATAGAAGGATAATATAGAAAGATAATATTTTTTTAATATATGGAAAGATAAATTTTGTATAAAAGAAAAGGCAAACTATTTAAAAATATTATTAGACATATCGATTTATATAGATACTAAAAACTGATGAACTCTACCAGGCCTTGTTCTATTATGTTTATAAAAACGAGGGTCATTCCTTCCGAAAGATATCTCGAGATAATCCAAGATACTATCCTAATCATTCTTAAGATACCATCGAATTTCGAATGGACAAAATTGAATCCCAATTTGCTTATCGCTTCTCCAAATGTTTGATATTGAACATCAAGGCTAACAAACTGCAAAGTTAATGTTTTTTGTAGAAAATCTTTATAAAATGTAATTGAAATGGAATAAGATTTGCCTGATAATTATTCACATTCACTATATCAGTAGATAAATATCCACTATTCCTGATGTATGGAATATTGAACAGAATATTATTTGGTGTGTATGTGCTGGATTTTTTATTGTCATATCTATTACGTGACGCTGTAAAAAATAGTACGTAAAAATAAATCAGTTATTATCAAATATTCTAGAAATTAAATTCTCTTCCTTACACTGTGTGTAAATTAATAATATTTTAAATCAAATACTTTAATTAATATTTATATTTTTTACTTTAATACAAATTTACTTTAATGCATTTTAGATCTATCAAAGATCATTTGTATATTTACAAAATAAGCATGAAATAAAATAAATAAACAAAAAAATAAATAGAATAAACTACTTGATTTTGAACATATATAATTCCATAATATTTGTCTATTTAATTTTTAATTTTTATTTTTAAAGTCTTAGAACTTTCAGACTTTAAACCGTTTAAAAAATTTTACGTGAAATGTGAATAGAGAGATACAATTCTCTGGAATCATACTTAATATTTATTAAAATAAAAACCAATTATTTTCATATGTGCAATAAGAATATTAAATACAAATATATTTGTATAAATAATAAAATGATTATAAGTGAAATTTAAAAAAAAAATCAAATAAAAGAATAAATCAAATAAAAGGAATATTTTAGTTTTCAAAATAATTAAAATGAATTTAGTGCTAAATAATGTTTTATATGTAAAATTTCCGAAAACAATTTTAAATTCTATATTACGCTCTAATTCGATTTCCCGAATTTAAAGTATAATCATAAACTAAAACTGGAAATAATATCACAAATTACATTTTGATTGTTAATTTTGATAATGATATTAATAAGCATTTTAAATAATAGAATATCAAAGAAATAGCGATGTATATATGATACAGACTATTCAAAAATTCACTGCTAGTATAGTATTAAAACCTACATTACATGCACTATAGTTTTTCAATGAGTTTTTCTGTTAATTTTGAAAGCCATACTTACAGTAACTAAAACGATATTTTTTGGATAGTATCCAGAGATCTGAGGAAGTGTCAATTTGTACTTTAAACTTCTGCAATGAAGTTCCAATTGAGATAATGACATAGTACACAAAATTATAATCATTAAACAGAGGTTGCTTTACAATGCCAAATATTCGGAATCAAAGTAACCTCTATCGACAATGGATGTCTTCTCAAAGATTTTTGAATATATAGAATGTGTCTTGTACAATGGAATTCTTAAAAAGCGCTAAAGAAAATTTAATTTATATTATACGTATACCTGTACGTACCACTTAAGCGAATAATACGCATATACATATAAATCAATATACAACATACATATATACAACATACGTATAAATAAATTTTGAAAAAATCATCTTCAAATCATATTGTATATTTTTAAGAATTAGCTTCAATATTTTGATATTAAGAAATAACTGCTATCATTAAATTTATTTCACACATCAGAATAAAGTTTAGATCTTTTAATGTAAATTACTTCATTCGTCATGCTTATGTAATAAAATAAGATGTGTATGATAAAGACGATAAAAATGCAAACCTCAAACTTCTTTACCTGCTGATTTTACTCGGACAAAGTATTGCAAGTATTATACATAAGCATTTTTCTACAGATTTGTGCTAATAATCATAACATTTATTATCAATGAAATTTACACTTGCTCACCTTAACAATTTCGCGTCGATCAAATATTGCGACTGCAACAAAAAAACCAAACATGTTTCCCAAATTCTCTGATGATTAAAATTACAAAAATCAAGAAAGTTTCAGAAGCATTATAATTTTTTTTCAAATCAGGCAAATCGCACAACAGAAAAGAAACAAAATCATTAGCGCTTATATATATATATATATATATAT